ATTTTCCGAAAACAGAGGAAATGCCATTTTCAATTTAAGCATTTGTAAACTCGTCAGAAATATCAATAACCTATTTTAAAATCGAAAAGGAAACTTCTTCATTATCAAAATCCGCAAATTTTCACGAAAAAAATTCCAAATAACTCATTTCGGAAACTTTCAAATTTATCGAAAATTTAAAGTTTTGCCTTAAGACCAAATCTCAATCCAATCTATTCAAAGGTGAGAAATTTGCTCTTCAAAGTCTCATATCAATTTCTAAAATCACGATTTTTCCGGAAAAAAGTGGAATGCCATCCTCAGTTCAAATACTTTAAAAATCCGTCAACAAAATCAATAATTTATTTTTAAAATCGAAGGAAAAGTTTCCTTATTTTTGAAATCCTCAAATTTTCATTAAGATATTTCCAGATAACTCATTTCCAAAAACTCCAAACCTCAAAGTCTTAAATCCAAATCTAAAACCACGTTTTTTCTGGCAAGCAAACAAAATCAATAACATATTTTGAAATTGAAAGGAAAGTTCCTTCATTTCTAAATCCTTAAATTTTCATCAGAATCTTTCCGAATAACTCATTCCGAAAAATTTCAAATCTCGTCTAGAGTTTTGCTTTAAAACCTAATTCCAAAATCCAACCTGTTCAAAGGCGAGAAATTTCTATCTCAAAGCCTCAAATTGAATTTTAAAATCACGATTTTTTGCACCAAACAAAGGAAAAATGCCATTTTCAGTTTAAGAACTTCTGAATACGTCAACAAAATCAATATCCTATTTTCAAATCGAAAGAAAAATCTCTTCATTGTCGAAATTTGTCAATTTTCACAAGGTTGCTTCCACAAATAACTTATTCCGAAACTTTAAAACCTAATCTATATGGTCTTCCAAAAATTCACAACTAGAATATTGATTTAAAATCTAATTCCAAAATCAAACCTATCCAAAGGCGAGAATCTGCGCGTTAAATCCTCAAATCCTTTACTAAAATCAGGATTTTTTCCGAAAACAAAGGAAATGCCATTTTCAATTTAAGCATTTGTAAACTCGTCAGTAAAATCAATAACCTATTTTAAAATCGAAAGGGAAACTACTTCATTATCAAAATCCGCAAATTTTCACGAACAAAAAATCCAAATAACTCATTTCGGAAACTTTCAAATTTACCAAAAATTCACAGTTTTGCCTAAGACCAAATCTCAATCCAATCTGTTCAAAGATGAGAAATTTGATCTTTAAAGTCTCATATCAATTTCTAAAATCACGATTTTTCCGGAAAAAAGAGGAATGCCATGCTCAGTTCAAATACTTTAAAAATCCGTCAACAAAATCAATAATTTATTTTTAAAATCGAAAGAAAAGTTTCCTTATTTTTGAAATCCTCAAATTTTCATGAAGATATTTCCAGATAACTCATTTCCAAAAACTCCAAACCTCAAAGTCTTAAATCCAAATCTAAAACCACGTTTTTTCTGGCAAGCAAACAAAATCAATAACATATTTTGAAATCGAAAGGAAAGTTTCTTCATTTCTAAATCCATAAATTTTCATCAGAATCTTTCCGAATAACTCATTCCGAAAAATTTCAAATCTCGCCTAGAGTTTTGCCTTAAAACCTAATTCCAAAATCCAACCTGTTCAAAGCCGAGAAATTTGCATCTGAAAGCCCCAAATTGAATTTTAGAATCACGATTTTGCACCAAACAAAGGAAAAATGCCATTTTCAGTTTAGGAACTTCTGAATACGTCAAAAAATCAATATCCTATTTTAAAATCGAAAGAAAAGTCTCTTCGTCGAAATTGGCCAATTTTCACAATTATATTTTTCCAAATAACTTATTTCGAAACATTAAAACCTGGTCTACATGGTCTTCCAAAAATTCACAAACAGAATTTTCTTTTAGAACCTAATTCCAAAATCAAACCTATTGAAAGGCGAGAAATACGCCCTTTAAACCCTCAAATTCTTTACTCAAATTTGGATTTTTTCCGAAAACGAAGGAAATGCCATTTTCAATTTAAGCATTTGTAAACTCGTCAGTAAGATCAATAACCTATTTTAAAATCGAAAGGGAAATTTCTTCATTATCGAAATCCGCAAATTTTCACGAAAAAAAAATCTAAATAACTCATTTCGGAAACTTTCAAATTTACCAAAAATTCACAGTTTTGCCTTAAGACCAAATCTCAATCCAATCTGTTCAAAGGTGAGAAATTTGCTCTTCAAAGTCTCATATCAATTTCTAAAATCACGATTTTCCGGAAAAAAGGGGAATGCCATCCTCAGTTCAAATACCTTAAAAATCCGTCAACAAAATCAATAATTTATTTTTAAAATCGAAAGAAAAGGTTCCTTGTTTTTGACATCCTCAAATTTTCATGAAGATATTTCCAAACAACTCATTTCCAAAAACTCCAAACCTCAAAGTCTTAAATCCAAATCTAAAACCACGTTTTTTCTGGCAAGCAAACAAAATCAATAATATATTTTGAAATCGAAAGGAAAGTTTCTTCATTTCTAAATCCTTAAATTTTCATCAGAATCTTTGCGAATAACTCATTCCGAAAAATTTCAAACCTCGTCTAGAGTTTTGCTTTAAAACCTAATTCCAAAATCCAACCTGTTCAAAGGCGGGAAATTTGCATCTCAAAGCCTCAAATTGAATTTTAGAATCACGATTTTTTGCACCAAACAAAGGAAAAATGCCATTTTCAGTTTAAGAACTTCTGAATACGTCAACAAAATCAATATCCTATTTTAAAATCGAAAGAAAAGTCTCTTCGTCGAAATTGGCCAATTTTCACAATTATATTTTTCCAAATAACTTATTTCGAAACATTAAAACCTGATCTACATGGTCTTCCAAAATTTCACAAACAGAATTTTCTTTTAGAATCTAATTCCAAAATCAAACCTATTGAAAGGCGAGAAATACGCCCCTTAAACCCTCAAATTCTTTACTAAAATCAGGATATTTTCCGAAAACAAGGGAAATGCCATTTTCAATTTAAGCATTTGTAAACTCGTCAGTAAAATCAATAACCTATTTTAAAATCGAAAACGAAACTTCTTCATTAACAAAATCCGCAAATTTTCAAGAAAAAAAATCCAAATAACTCATTTCAGAAACTTTCAAATTTACCAAAAATTCACAGTTTTGCCTTAAGACCAAATCTCAATCCAATCTTTTCAAAGGTGAGAAATTTGCTCTTCAAAGTCTCATATCAATTTCTAAAATCACGATTTTCTGGAAAAAAGTGAAATGCCATCCTCAGTTCAAATACTTTAAAAATCCGTCAACAAAATCAATAATTTATTTTTAAAATCAAAAGAAAAGGTTCCTTATTTTTGAAATCCCCAAATTTTCATGAAGATATTTCCAAATAACTCATTTCCAAAAACTCCAAACCCCAAAGTCTTAAATCCAAATCTAAAACCACGTTTTTTCTGACAAGCAAACAAAATCAATAACATATTTTGAAATCGAAAGGAAAGTTTCTTCATTTCTAAATCCTTAAATTTTCATCAGAATCTTTCCAAATAACTCATTCCGAAAAATTTCAAACCTCGTCTAGAGTTTTGCTTTAAAACCTAATTCCAAAATCCAACCTGTTCAAAGGCGAGAAATTTGCATCTCAAAGCCTCAAATTGAATTTTAGAATCACGATTTTTTGCACCAAACAAAGGAAAAATGCCATTTTCAGTTTAAGAACTTCTGAATACGTCAACAAAATCAATATCCTATTTTAAAATCGAAAGAAAAGTCTCTTCGTCGAAATTGGCCAATTTTCACAATTATATTTTTCCAAATAACTTATTTCGAAACATTAAAACCTGGTCTACATGGTCTTCCAAAAATTCACAAACAGAATTTTCTTTTCGAACCTAATTCCAAAATCAAACCTATTGAAAGGCGAGAAATACGCCCTTTAAACCCTCAAATTCTTTACTAAAATCAGGATATTTTCCGAAAACAAAGGAAATGCCATTTTCAATTTAAGCATTTGTAAACTCGTCAGTAAAATCAATAACCTATTTTAAAATCGAAAGGGAAACTTCTTCATTATCAAAATCCGCAAATTTTCACGAAAAAAATTCCAAATAACTCATTTCGGAAACTTTCAAATTTACCAAAAATTCAAAGTTTTGTCTTAAGACCAAATCTCAATCCAATCTGTTCAAAGGTGAGAAATTTGCTCTTCAAAGTCTCACATCAATTTCTGAAATCACGATTTTCCGGAAAAAAGTGGAATGCCATCCTCAATTCAAATACTTTAAAAATCCGTCAACAAAATCAATAATTTATTTTTAAAATCAAAAGAAAAGGTTCCTTATTTTTGAAATCCGCAAATTTTCATGAAGATATTTCCAAATAACTCATTTCCAAAAACTCCAAAGCTCAAAGTCTTAAATCCAAATCTAAAACCACATTTTTTGTGGCAAGCAAACAAAATGAATAATATATTTTGAAATCGAAAGGAAAGTTTTTTCATTTCTAAATCCTTAAATTTTCATCAGAATCTTTCCGAATAACTCATTCCGAAAAATTTCAAATCTCGTCTAGAGTTTTGCTTTAAAACCTAATTCCAAAATCCAACTTGTTCAGGGGCTAGACACTTGCACCTCAAAGCCCCAAATTGAATTCTAGAATAACGATTTTTTCGCCAAACAAGGGAAAGACTTTATAAAATTAAAAATGTGGCAAAATTACCCCTAACAATGTTTATTTTAATCTTTTGTTTTCCTTTATCTTAAGCTTTTCAAACTTCACTGTTTTCATTATGGTTGAAAAAATGTATTGTTTATATTTAAACTTTTTAGAGGTTCGTAGTGAACGGTCAAGTTTTGTGGAAATATCGAAAAAATAATAACTTCAGCCAGTCAGAGAGCTTAGCACAAGTCGATCAGAGTAGTGTAGGAGGATCTTGAAGGATGTTGTATTAACCTTTACGCGGTTTTAGTATTTAAAATATTTTCAAATATTTGATTAGAACTGTCTTTCAGGAGAAACCACGAAGCTGAACATGTTCCAAGCCATCAACAACGCCCTGGATTCGGCCCTGCAGTCCGACGAGAGCGCCCTGGTCTTCGGCGAAGACGTGGCCTTCGGGGGGGTGTTCCGCTGCACGATAGGCCTCCAGGCCAAGTACGGTCCTGGCCGCGTATTCAACACCCCTTTGTGCGAACAAGGCATTGTCGGCTTCGCCATCGGCGCCGCCAACATGGGTTCGACAGCAATAGCTGAAATTCAATTCGCCGATTACATATTTCCGGCATTCGACCAGGTCTAACGGGCATAGTTTCAGCATAATTTGGTTTGACAAAACAGATTGCAGTTAGTCAACGAAGCAGCCAAAATGAGGTACCGAAGCGGGGGGCAGTTTGATTGCGGAAAATTAACTGTCAGGGCGCCCTGCGGAGCCGTTGGACATGGAGCGCTTTACCATTCACAGAGCCCAGAGGCGTATTTTGCACATACGCCGGGATTAAAGGTTCGTTTAACACGTCTCATCCAGTCTTGTCGAAGCTGGCTAATCTTGCTGTCGAGGTTTTAAAGCAAACTGCAGATGTGCGGTTGCGGATCGAAAGATAACTGGCGTATTTTGGGGTATTTTTCGTGTTTACGGGGTTTTAAACGGCTGGGGCTTTTATTAAAGTCGGCTGACGTGATGCGAATTTATTGTCTCTTTAAAATGAACACGAGCGGAATTTTTATGGTTTATAATCGGAGTCTTTACAAGAACTGCAGCAAATATATCGGAAGCGTTTCGTTAAAAATTGATACAAAAATGGTGCCTATCAAATATTAATAGGCAGGTGTGTTGTGTAATGTTGAAAAAGAATCTATAATAATCTCTCCTTTTTCCAAATTGTTTTTTTTTTATTTTATGTCACCCCGTTAAAGAAACGGTCCATTTATGAAAGATAAACATTTACACTGTTTCTGGTTTAACGATATAAATATTTCTGTGGTAATAGTTTTACATTTTTAAATTATTATCATTAATCTTGAAAACCATGGAGCAGAAATAATTTGCTAAGCAATAAAACGTTCCTTTGATGTGAAACAAGATTACAAACTAACAGTCCTTTATGATATCAAAATGACTTAGAGTGTTTAGGTGTCAGTAACTACTTATTTTATAAATTGCAGAAAATTAGTGCCACTTCAGTTATAAAAATTTTATTACAGTTCTTATCAATTACCCTTCTACTTAATAGATCAGCTCTCCTCCGTGACTCTCTTCTTCTACCCAAATACACCACCGGCCTGCCTTTTTAGCCTACAAACATACTTAAGTATAAGACTATCCCTTGTGGAATACTTTCCTCTCTCGAGTCTGCGATCACTAAATTTTTTTCCATTCTAATCGTTTCTAGCTACCTTCAACTTTCCCGTTCACTAGATATGGTCACACCTCTATTCAACCCCATCTCTTTAAAATTTCAATCATGGACCAAAATAGGCAGCTTGAAATCATGTTCTTTAGGTAACAACTGATAAACTGATCGACCTAATCCATATTCTGATGCTTTAATCAAACAATCATTAACTTTGGATCATCATTGGTGTTCGTTGTCGGTTCGTCTTTTTCTTTATTTAACCGATCGGCTTCTGTTTATTCGTATATCATTAATTTCTAACTTTATTCGATATGTTTTTTACTTTGTTCTTGTATTTATCGATTCATTTTTGTTTACACTGTTGTAAATTTTCCAGTTCTTTCAGGTGTACACTCATTTTTTCGAACACTGAACTTATCGAGAAATTGTCTGTTTTTCCTTGGTAAACAGAAATTTCCAGAAATTGTAAGTGTCAATAGTTCTCCTCTAAAGAACAATATTAATAATAATAATAAGATGGACATCTTTTGTAAGTCTTGCCTAAATTAACTCTTAGATCTTCTTCCGTAGTCTCTTCATCCAAAAAATTTTCTGCAAACCTCCAGAGATCCTTCTTCGACCCTTTTTTATGACGGAAATGTTGTTTTTAAATGGAACGTTGCTAAATTTTGTAGCTTCTCTCTCCCACACTGGTTACTTTTTGCTTTCAAAAGTCACCTATTCCTTTTCATCAGTTAAATTTTTCCTAGAATGTTACTTTTGCTTTTCAAATTTTCTAGAAACATTTCAAATTTGGGCGTGGATATGTTCTATAGTTTTGAAACTTTATGAAACTGATTACCTTCTAAATCTAGAAACTCGATACGTCAGCAATAATCCTATTTAATTTTACTTGGAACTTTTTTCTCAAATAGAATCCTTTTTCCCTCTTCGATCCTTTTTTATGGTCAAAGTGTTCTATATTTTCAGAATAACGTTCTTTTCAAATGGAACGTTCGTCAGTTAGATTTCTTTTCTAATGTCAATTTCGCTTTCCAAATTTTCTACAACCTTTTCAAATTTGATCGTGCAAATGTTCTGCACTTTTGAAATTTCTAAAAGCAGATTTCCTTCTAGAATCTTCTCGAAACGTGCTGAATTCATTCTTCTTGATCTATGCTGTCAGAATAAAGTTCTTTACAAACGGACGTGCAAAAATTTCCTACCTATTCTTTTTGACATTTGTTATCCTTCGCCTTGAAGTCCAAATCATACTATCTTCCTTGTCGCCGGTTTGATTTGTTTTCGAATGTTAATTTCGCTTTCCAAATTTTCTAAAAGCTTTTCAAATTTGAGCGTGCAGATGTTCTAAACTTTTGAAAATTTCCGAAGCTGTTTTTCCTTATAGAATTTTCTCGATGTACGAGCTAGATCAATTCTATTTAATTTTCCTTTGAACTTCTTTCTCTCTTTGATCTTGTTTTTATGGTAAAAGTGTTCTATTTTTTCAGACAAAAATTCTTTTCAAGTGGAACATTTCAAAATTTCCTAGATCTTTTCTTTGACACTAGTTATCCTTCACCTTAAAGTCTAAATCTTACTATCTTTCTTGTCACGAGTGAGATTTTTTTTCAAATGTCAATTTCGCTTTCCAAATTTTCTAGAACCTTGTCAAATTTGAGTATGCAGTTGTTTTGCACTTTTGAAATTTCCAAAAGCAGATTTCCTTCTAGAATCATCTCGAAACGTGCTGAATTCATTCTTCTTGATTTTATTATGAACTTTTTTCTCAAATAGAATCCTTTTTCCCCGTTTGATTCTTTTTTATGGTAGAAGTGTTTTATGCTGCCAGAATAAAGTTGTTTACAAACGGACGTTCAAAAATTTCTTACCTATTCTTTTTGACATTAGCTATCCTTCGCCTTGAAGTCCAAATCTTACTATCTTCCTTGTCGTCGGCTTGATTTCTTTTCGAATGTTAATTTCGCTTTCCAAATTTTCTAAAAACTTTTCAAATTTGACCGCGCAGATGTTCTAAACTTTTGAAATTTTCCGAAGATGATTTCCTTTTTGAATCTTCTCGATACGACCTAGATCAATTCTATTTAATTTTCCTTTGAACTTCTTTCTCTCTTTGATTTTGTTTTTATGGTAAAAGTGTTCTACTTTTTCAGAATAAAATTCTTTTCAAGTGGAACATTTCAAAATTTCCTAGATCTTTCCTTTGACACTAGTTATCCTTCACCTTAAAGTTTAAATTTTACTATCTTTCTTGTCACGAGTGAGATTTCTTTTCTAATGTCAATTTCACTTTCCAAATTTTCTAGAACCTCGTCAAATTTGGGTATGCAGATGTTCTGCACTTTTGAAATTTCCAAAAGCAGATTTTCTTCTAGAATCTTCTCGAAACGTATAGAATTCATTATTCTTGATTTTATTATGAACTTTTTTCTCAAATAGAATCCTTTTTCCCCGTTTGATTCTTTTTTATGGTAGAAGTGTTCTATGCTGCCAGAATAAAGTTGTTTACAAACGGACGTGTAAAAATTTCCTACCTACTCTTTTTGACATTAGTTATCCTTCGCCTTGAAGTCCAAATCTTACTATCTTCCTTGTCGTCGGTTTGATTTCTTTTCGAATGTTAATTTCGCTTTCCAAATTTTCTAAAAACTTTTCAAATTTGACCGCGCAGATGTTCTAAACTTTTGAAATTTATCGAAGCTGATTTCCTTTTTGAATCTTCTCGATGTACGACCTAGATCAATTCTATTTAATTTTCCTTTGAACTTCTTTCTCTGTTTGATTTTGTTTTTATGGTAAAAGTGTTCTACTTTTTCAGAATAAAATTCTTTTCAAGTGGAACATTTCAAAATTTCCTAGATCTTTCATTTGACACTAGTTATCCTTCACCTTAAAGTGTAAATTTTAGTATCTTTCTTGTTATGAGTGAGATTTCTTTTCTAATGTCAATTTCGCTTTCCAATTTTTCTAGAACCTCGTCAAATTTGAGCATGCAGATGTTCTGCACTTTTGAAATTTCCAAAACCAGATTTCCTTCTAGAAACTTCTGGAAACGTGCTGGATAAATTCTACTTGATTTAATTATGGACTTTTTGCCAAATAGAATCTACATTTATGAAATTTTCCGAATCTGATTTTCTTCTAGAATCTTCTCAATACGTCCTAGATCAATTTTATTAAATTTTCCTTTGAACTTTTTCTGAAACAAAATCCTTTTCTTTATTGGATCCTCTTATAGTGGAAGTATTCTATGCTGTCACAATAAAGTTCTTTTCAAATTAATAATTCTAAAATTTCCTATCTATTCTTTTTGACATTTGTTATCCTTCGCATTGAAGTACAAATCTCACTGTCTTCTTTGTTGTCGGTTTGATTTCTTTTCGAATGTTAATTTCGCTTTTCAAATTTTCAAGAAACTTTTCAAATTTGGGCGTGCAGATGTTCTACGTTGTTGAAATTTTCCGAAGCTGATTTCCTTCTAGAATCTTCAGGATACGTTCTAGATCAATTCTATTTAATTTTCCTTAAATTCTTCTTCTTTCTCAAATAGAATCCTTTTTCCTTGTTTGATCCTTTTTTTATGCTGGAAGTGTTCTATGTTGTCAAAACAAAGTTCTTTTCAAATGGAACTTTCCAAAATTTTTTAACTGTTCTTTTTGACATGAGTTATCCTTTGATTTGAAGTTCAAATCTTGTCAGTTTTGCATTCCAAATTTTCTAGAAACTTTTCAAATTGAGATCCAGCTTTTTAGAAATTTTCCGAAGCTGATTTTCTTTTAAAATTTTTTCGATACGTCCTTGGTCAATTCTATTTATGGTAATTTTAGTTTCAACTCCTTGCTCAAATGGAATCCCTGTTCCCTTTTTGATCGTTTTTATGATGGAAGTGTTCTATACTGTCAGAATAAAAATATTTTCAAATGGAATGTTCTAAAATTTTCTAGCTGTTCCTTTTAACATTAGTTATCCTTCGCTTTGAATTCCAAATCTTCCTATCTTTCTTGTCGTCACTTAGATCTCTATTCGAATGTTCTTTTCGCTTTCGAAATTTTGTAGAAACTTTTAAAATTTGAGTGTGCTGATATTCTACACTTTTGAAATTTTCCGAAGTTGATTTCCTTCTAGAATCTTCCGATACATCCTAGATCAATTCTATTTAAACTTATTTTGGACTTCTTTCTCAAATAGAATCCTTTTTCCCTTTTCGATCCTAATGGTGACGTGTTCTACAAATATTTTCAGCATAAAGTTCTTTTCAAATGGAACGTTGGTCACTTAGATTTCTTTTCGAATGTTAGTTTCACTTTCCAAATTTTCTAGAAACTTTGTAAATTTGAGGTTCCTGATATTCCACATTATAGAAGTTTTTCGAAGCTGATTTCCTTTTAGAATCTTCTCGAGACGTCCTTGACAAATTCTACTTAATTTTACTTTGAACTTCTTCTTCAAATGGAATCCTTTTTCCCTCTTTGCCCTTTTTAATGCTGGAAGTGTTCTATGTTGACAGAACAAAGTTCTTTTTCAATGGAACTTTCCAAAATTTTTTAGCTCTTCTTTTTGCCATTAGTTATCCTTCGCTTTGAAGTTCAAATCTTGTCAGTTTTGCTTTCCAAATTTTCTACAAATATTTCAAATTGAGATCCTGCGTTTTAGAAATTTTCCGAAGCTGATTTCCTTTTAGAATCGTGTCGTACGTAAGAATTATAAAAATTTAATAATGTAGGTAACAATTCCATTTGTACTATAATAATAATTAATGAATGTCATTTTTACAAAAATAAATTAGTAAATTAAGTTACCACTTTGGACGTCATTTTTGCACGTTTTCTATTCATTAGGCTTCGTTCGTCGCTTTTGTCAGTATCTCTCTTGATAAGCGACACATATACATATATTTATTACACAAAATTTGGACATCCGGCACACACTCTACACGGAACATCAATAAATCTCGAATGAAAGTGGGTGTTTGCTTTTGTTGCCTACAATCAAGTTTTCAAACTGTTGTCATAAAACAATTTATAATGAATAGCAAATGTCCTTGTAAAGACGAATTTAACTTTCCGCTTGTAGTTTTAAGTGGCAATTGTTTATAGACACTCTTTATAAAATATTGGCCGAGCTAAACAACCGTATAGATTTATTTTAAAACAGGCCGGAACATCTCTGGAGATGCGAGAGTGATTGGAATGTTAATGGGTATACACAGAGGCTTTATAAAATTCCGGATTTTACGCCTTTGGGATAGCAGCTAAACATTACATCAAGCATAAAAAAAACCGTGAAAAATTCTGCACACAATATATTTTTTCGCTTACACTTAAGCTAACTTGCTAACTATTATTAATAATTGTACTCCTAGTTTTTAAGACATCATGTTAGGCAACCCATAATATTCCTTGTCGTTTCAGATAGTCGTACCTCGAGGTCCGATCAAGGCGAAAGGCCTCCTCCTGGCCTGCGTTCGGGACCCCGATCCCTGTCTGATTTTGGAACCCAAGGCCCTTTATCGAGCGGCCGTCGAAGAGGTGCCGGTTGCCGACTTCGTCCTCCCCATAGGAAAAGCGGATGTTTTGCTTAAAGGTATTTGCGGTTAGGATAAATTTTCCTCGGAAAGCGAAGCCTAATATTTATCTTGTTTAAACATGTCTGGAAACGTAATAACTTTCCTCTGGATCAACAGGACCGCACAGCAGGAAAGTAAACTGCGCAATTCCTATCAGGATAGGTAGTGTCGAAGCCCATAAAATTTTCGACGCCTTTTATGACACAATAAATCGGCACATTATCGCATTGTGCTCCTGTTCTTTGTCGGCGAAAACGCCTGAATGGCGCAAATTAACAACCCGTTGAATCCATTGAACCTACGGGATAAATAAGCTTATAATACGTGTCCATAAAATATGGAATGAACTCGGTAAAGAACGGACAGCCAGATTTTAGCGTTGATGTTGGTTCGTGTGGCCTGCATTTAAGGGCAAACTTGGAATTGTCACACTGATACTGTCACACTGGTGACACACTGATACATAAATCACATGTGATAAAAACGATGTTTTTAAAATTTTATACACCCAAAATACTGTGTAATAAAACGCTCGTATACTTTAAAGAGAATTTTTATTACATTTTCCCACAAAATTTTAAATTTCTCGCTAAGGCTGCCAACACCGCTGCAAGAATCTGATAATTAATATATTAATAATGAACAGATTAAAAAACCAAGATAATAATTATAGCAATGCTAAAGTGATTAAAAAACACTGTGTTGCTATATTCTCCTCTTGAAGGAAATCGTTGCTTTTCCTCTTATTTTTGTAAATCTTGTAGTGCGTGCTTAATCTAAGTCTAAGTCAATGTTTTTCTAGGTGATAACAGAATTAAGTATATGAACTAATGCCTTTCTTCTTTTTTTGTGAGTAGTGTGACGTTGGCGTAACAATGGATGGATTACAAATAGTTTCAGACCGGAGAAAATACCAGCCATTCTTAACATTCTACACACTTATCTTTCTGCCGAATAAGCTGAACGGATTAGAGAAGTAGTAGTTCTTAGGGTAACTCCAAAACGAAAGACAGAGGCTATCACGTTATGTCCTTCAGGTTAGGAACTGAATAAAGACAGACTCAGGACTGCCTTACACCTGGCTATAAACCATAATAAGGAAGTAATGGACAGCTAATTTTTTGGACTCTGTCTGAGAAACCCGAAGGTTGAATTCCTATGGGATGTCCTCCAGATTTGAAGAAGGAAGGTTAAAATCAACAGAAATGTAGACACTAATCTACACTAATAAGTGTACTAATCAGAAAATAAACGAAGAAATAAGATGGATAAGAAACAGAAGACGGAATGCACAAATCACGTTGAGAAACTGACCGATAACAGAATCCCGAAAATCTTTTCTTTATTGGATCTTCTTATGGTGGAGGTATTCTATGCTGTCACAATAAAGTTCATTTCAAATTAATAATTCTAAAATTTCCTATTTATTCTTTTTGACATTTGTTATCCTTCGCATTGAAGTACAAATCTGACTGTCTTCTTTGTTGTCGGTTTGATTTCTTTTCGAATGTTAATTTCGTTTTCAAATTTTCAAGAAACTTTTCAAATTTGAGCGCGCAGGTGTTCTACATTGTTGAAATTTTCCGAAGCTGATTTCCTTCTAGAATCTTCAGGATACGTCCTAGATCAACTTTATTTAATTTTCCTTAAATTCTTCTTCTTTCTGAAATAGAATCGTTTTTCCTTGTTTGATCCTTTTTTATGCTGGAAATGTTCTATGTTGTCAAAACAAAGTTGTTTTCAAATGGAACTTTCCAAAATTTTTTAACTGTTTTTTTTGACGTGAGTTATCCTTCTTCTATCCTTTCTCGATTATATTTTTCCCTCTTTGATCTTTTTTATGGTGGAAGAATCCTGTGCTGTCAGAATAACGTTCCTTTCATCAATTAAATTAAATTCTTCCTAGAATGTCAGTTTCCCTTTTCAAGTTTTCTAGAAACTGATCAAATTAAACGCTCTAAAATTTCTTTGCTGTTCCTTATGATATTAGTTTTCGTTCGCTTTGAAGTCCAGATCTTACTATCTCTCCTATCGTCAGTTGGATTTCCTTTCAAACGTCAGTTGCGCGTTCCAAGTTTTCTAGAAACTTTTCAAACTTGAGCGTGCTAATATTCTACACTTTAGAAGTTTTCGGAAGCTGATTTCCCTCTAGAATCTTCTCGATAAGTGCTTGATCAATTCTATTTAATTTTACTTTGAACTTCTTCCTCCAATGGAATCTTTTTTCCCGCTTTGATCCTTTTTTGTATGTTGTCAGAACAAAGTTCTTTTCAAATGGCACTTTCCAAACATTTTTACCTGTTTATTTTTGACATTAATTATCTTTCGCTTTGAATTCCAAATCTTTCTATCTTTCTTGTCGTCAGTTAGATCTTTTTTCGAATGTTTTTCTTGCTTTCCAAATTTTGTAGAAACTTTTCAAATTTGGACGTGCTGATATTCTACACTTTTGAAATTTTCCGAAGTTGATTTCCTTCTAGAATCTTGTCGATACATCCTAGATCAATTCTATTTAATCTTATTTTGGACTTCTTTCTCAAATAGAATCCTTTTTCCCTCTTGGATCCTTTTTTATGGTGAAAGTGTTTTATATTTTTAGAATAACGTTCTTTTCAAATGGAACGTTCGTCAGTTAGATTTCTTTTTTCGCTTTAAAAATTTTCTATTCAAATTTGAGCGTGCAGATGTTCTAAATTTTTCAAAATTTCGGAAGATGATTTCCTTTTAGAATCTTCTCGATTCCTTTTATTTAATTTTAATTTGAACTTCTTTCTCAAAAGAATCCTTCTTCCTCTTTGACCCTTTTTTATGAGAGAAGTGTTCAATGTTGTCTTAATAAAGTTCTTTTCAAATCGAATATTCCAAAATTTCATACCTGTTCTTTTTGACATTAGTTACCCTTCGCTTTGAAGCCCAAATCTTATTATCATCTGTGATTCTACACTTATTCTACATTTTAAGGGCAAAGTTGGAATTGTCACACTGATACTGTCACACTGGTGACAGAGGTCGGAATTTAGAGTTAGGATGATTATTATTATTCATGTGCGTTGCTATATTCTCCTCCTGAAGGAAATCGTTGCTTTTCCTCTTATTTTTGTAAATCTTGTAGGGCGTCCTTAATCTAAGTTAATGTTTTTCGAGGTGATTACACAATTATATGAACTAATGCCTTTCTTCTTTTTTTGTGAGTAGTGTGACGTTGGCGTAACAATGGATGGATTACAAATAGTTTCAGACCGGAGAAAATACCAACCATTCTTAACATTCTACACACTTATCTTTCTGCTGAATAAGCTGAACGGATTAGAGAAGTAGTAGTTCTTAGGGTAAATCCAAAACGGAAGGCAGAGGCTATCACGTTATGTCCTTCAGGTTAGGAACTGAATAAAGACAGACTCAGGACTGTGTCTTACACCTGGCTGTAAACCGTAATAAGGAAGTAATGGAGGGCGCAGCTAATTTTCTGGACTCTGTCTGAGAAACCCGAAGGTTGAATTCCTATGGGATGTCCGCCAGATTTGAAGAAGGAAGGTTAAAAACAACAGAAATGTATACACTAATCTACACTAATAAGTGTACTAATCAAAAAAAAAAAAAATAACGAAAAAATAAGATGGATAAGAAACAGGAGAAGGAATGGACAGATCACGTTGAGAAACTGACGGATAACAGAATATCGAAAATCATCAAGAATAGAAGACCAAACACATCTAGATTATCGGGTGTCATGAATGTTGGACATTTATCTTTCAAGAACGAAGAAAGCTACAACGCAGTAAATAACAAGACCAGGTGTTAATTAAAAAGAAGGATTAAATAAACAAGAATGAGCATTCTTTGGCACCAACTGTTACAGTAGAAGATCTAGCCAAACCCAACTGAGGCAGCTAATAGAAAACACAGCTGCCTTCCTGGTCTCTAGGGGAAGACCAAACCCTTTAGATTATGAGAGAACGAACGTTTAAGTCCGAATCCTGTTCAAAAAATATGTACCCTGGAAAGGAGGAAAGTTGATGCGGCAACACTCTGTGTTAAAGCAAGGAACCCAGCTAGATCAATTGGGGAAACTAGTAGAGAAGGAATGATGAAAGCCAACAGCTAGAATGGTTAAATATAATTCTCCGATTTGACATTCCCGTTTTTCATTCTATGAATTTTACTATCTTCCTTATCGCCAGTTTGATTTCTTTTCGAATGTTAATTTCGCTTTATAAATTTTCAACAAACTTTTCAAATTTGAGCGTGTGAATGTTCTATCTACATTTATGAAATTTTCCGAATTTGATTTCCTTCTAGAAGCTTCTCAATACGTCCTAGATCAATTTTATTTAATTTTCCTTTGAACTTTTTCTTAAATAGAATCCTTTTCTTTATTGGATCTTCTTATGGTGGAGGTATTCTATGCTGTCACAATAAAGTTCATTTCAAATTAATAATTCTAAAATTTCCTATTTATTCTTTTTGACATTTGTTATCCTTCGCATTGAAGTACAAATCTGACTGTCTTCTTTGTTGTCGGTTTGATTTCTTTTCGAATGTTAATTTCGTTTTCAAATTTTCAAGAAACTTTTCAAATTTGAGCGTGCAGATGTTCTACTTTGTTGAAATTTTCCGAAGCTGATTTCCTTCTAGAATCTTCAGGATACGTCCTAGATCAACTTTATTTAATTTTCCTTAAATTCTTCTTCTTTCTGAAATAGAATCGTTTTTCCTTGTTTGATCCTTTTTTATGCTGGAAATGTTCTATGTTGTCAAAACAAAGTTCTTTTCAAATGGAACTTTCCAAAATTTTTTAACTGTTTTTTTTTTTGACGTGAGTTATCCTTCTTCTATCCTTTCTCAATTATATTTTTTCCCTCTTTGATCTTTTTATGGTGGAAGAATCCTGTGCTGTCAGAATAACGTTCCTTTCATCAATTAAATTAAATTCTTCCTAGAATGTCAGTTTCCCTTTTCAAGTTTTCTAGAAACTGATCAAATTAAACGCCCTAAAATTTCTTTGCTGTTCCTTATG